TCAATAAATGATTAATTTCTGTGTTCATTCCTCATTAATTGTTAAATTGAGCATACATAATCTCACTACATTCGAAAACGATTTGTAAGTTAGATTCTCTCACACAAGAACTCACAAGTTGCTAGTGATTGCCAAGAAAAAACGACTAGTTGTCAGTTTAACGACTGACTGTTAGCACAATCATTTCAAAAGCAAATCATCGGCCCTGCTCAGCCACCTCAGAACTCCACCATGCTGAGGAAGCACATATTTCTGGATTCATCCCTGCTTTCATTGTTTCTTTTGCAATAAATCATAAACTAACAGAAGAAATACACTCCACTTTCTTTAGAGATGCAAACTATAGGGGCTAACAAAGTTAGATCGAAACCAAATAAGCCACTGGTTGGTGCTGCCTGGACAAAGACTTAAGCCATGAATTTCAATGGGACAGACCATTCTTATTTTTAACTTTTATTTATTTATTTATTTATTTTGAGATACCGTCTCGCATTATAGCCCAGGCTGGAGTGCAGTGGTGTGATCTCCGCTCACTGCAACCTTTCTATCCCAGATTCAGGCGATTCTCCTGCCTCAGCCTCCCAAGTAGCTGGGATTACAGGTGTGTGCCACCACACCTGGCTAATTTTTGTATTTTCAGTAGAGACGGGATATCGCCATGTTGGCCAGGGTGGCCTCAAACTCCTGACCTCAGGTGATCCATCCACCTCAGCCTCCCAAAGTGCTGGGAGTTCAGGCATGAGCCAGCTCATACCCATAATTAGAGACCATTCTTAAGTCATAAAACCACCATCCACTGATTCGAATCTTGTAGCTTTTTCAATTCTGCTTCCCATCCACCCCACTCCCCACACTGCAATTAAGGAAAAGCAGATATTTTTCAAACTCACACCATACAAATGCCAGGGACTTTTTTTTTTTCTTTTTTAGAGACAGGATCTCACTCTACCGCTCAGGCTGGAGGGCAGTGGTGCCGTCATAGCTCACTGTGGCCTCAACTTCCTCAGCTCAAGCTATCCTCCCACTTTAGCCTCCCAGGTAGCTGGAACCACAGGCATATGCCACCACTCCCAGCTAATTTTTTTTTTTTTTCTTGGTAGAGAAGAGGTCTCACTACATTGCCAGGGCTGGTCTCAAACTCCTTGGCTCAAACAATCCTCCCACCATGGCCTCCAAAATTGCTGGGATTAAGGCATGAGCCACAGTGCCAGCAAAGGCTCCATCACCTTCAGAGTGTATTTTTAAAGTGACTTTAACTGGAAAAATTGTCTTTGTCTCCTGAGGTGCTAAATCCAGATGTGGCTTTCTCTAGATGTGCTAGCAAATTCCCCCTTCTGGTACCAGAGCCCCTACCAATCCCGTTGGAGTCCACAGGCACCCCTCCCAGCCTCAGTGCAGCAAAGGAGTTTCTGCTGTTCTCCCAGAGCTACTTTGTTCAAACGCACCAGCCACTTGAATAGTTTATTCTGTCCAACATCTTGACCAGTTAATGATATTTGTAACAAAGCTGGTAGTTATTAAATAAACCATTTGAGTTAACCCTAAAGACAAATAACAAATCTGAATGAAAGCCCAACTACCTATGGCTATTTTAACAAGAAATAACTGCAGGCTATGAAGGAGAATATAGATGATTCAGCCTGTAACAAGACGAGTCCAAATCAATGGGAGAGTAGGGAAAGTGTTTTCCTTGATGAGAGGAAGCCCTCTGGCTGAGTATTCTGGGATTAGGAATCTGGTTTATGAGGTACAAAAAATCCAGTTTTTGCTCATAGAAGTCTGGCACCTTAATCAGGTATTAGAGCAAGATATTTAAAGCTCCCCGACTAAACTGCGTGAGAAGGGATCCCCCTTTAGGCTTTGTTAGTTACAAAATCAGCTCATCTTACACCCTTGATGGAGCTTGGCCTCTGGGCACTTGGAACCCCAATGGCAACAGTCAACCCTGAGGCAGGGACAACCCCTAGAGGCTGCAGTTCGCTAAGAGTGACCAAAAACCAGATGAAGACCCCAAATTCTGTTGGGGGAGGGACAGGGACAGAGTGTTAGGCAGGAGAGTCCGATGCATGGGGTGGATCTAAGGGCTGTGCACCTCAGTCTCATGCTGAATCGGCCAGGGGCCCAGCACTCAGGGGACGGGACCTGGGTGGGCGCCCACTGCCAACTCTGCTTCGACCCGGAGACCACTCTAAGGAGCATCCTGAAAACCCTGGGTCTGGCTGGGCAGATGAACGCTTATACTCCAAATGAGGCCTGGGCATTTTGGTCACCACTCTGAGATGACACAGGTGTTCAGACGGTGTCATGAAAGGAAAATGAAAACTCAGGACCCCAGTTCACTCTGCCAGAAGGAAAAAAAAAATTAAGTGGAAAGCTGAGTCATACAAGAAGCTGCCTTTTCTTTTGCTCCTAAGCAGAGAGCTACAGATAAAAGGTTAAACATCTCAGGTAGCAGCTCTGCGTCCACCTTGTCTTAGTTGAAATGCAGATTTACTGAGCATTAGATGACACATAACTGACGATTCCCGCCTGCTCCTTTTCCCTTGCAGCCTGTGGGCCCAGCGATGACCACATCCTCCCTGTTCCCCTCCAGCCCACTTTTCCGCTTACAAAAGGGAGGCACCGAGCACAGACTGCCTCTGCGATCCCGTGGTTTCTCCCTCCCCGGCATGTCCTGAGCCTTGGCAAAATAAACTTCTAAGTTAATTGAGATCTGTTTCACATACTTCTTGGTTTACAGTGTCAACAAGACAAGACTCGTTCATGGTTCTTTCTTTTTTGTTTTGAGACACAGTCTCGCACTGTCTCCCGGGCTGGAGTGCAGTGGTGCAATGTCAGCTCACTGCAACCTCTGCCTCTGGGTTCAAGTGATTCTCCTGACTCAGCCTCTCGAGCGGCTGGGATCACAGGCAGCCACCACCACATCCATCTAATTTTTTGTATTTTTAGTAGAGACGGGGTTTCACTATGTTGGCCAGGCTGGTCTCAAACTCCTGACCTCACAATCCGCCTCCCTCGGCCTCCCAAAGTGCTGGATTACAGGAATGAGCCACTGCTCCCAGCCTCCCTCCCTCCCTCCCTCCTTCCTTCCCTCCGTGCCTTCTTTTCTTTTTCTATTTAGGTTTCTTTTTATACCGGTAGAGCCAGTTCATGTTTCCACATGAAAATCTTTCTGTCTGAACATCAGATCTCTCACTTGCCAAGTCAGAGTGAAGCCATTCTGGGGGCTGGAGGAGGAATGCACTGTGGACGAACTCCTGTCCCCACCAACAAAATTCAGTAGGTGAAGTCCGAACCCCCAGTATCTCAGCCTGTGATTGCATCTGAAGACAGGATCTTTAAAAGGTAATTAACATGACATCATTAGCACGGACCCTAAAACAATATAACCAGCCTTCTACTACGAAGAGGAGATGAGGACACAGAGAGGCACACGGGAAGACCCGGTGGGGACCCGTGAGGAGGACAGCAGCCGTGAGCCACGGAGAGAGGCCTCCCGAGAAACCAGCCCTGCCGACACCTTCGCCTTGGACTTCTGCTTCCAAAACAGTGAGAAAGAAGTGGTTCTGCGATGTAAGCACCGCGTCTTTGTGATGTAAGCACCAGGTCTGCGGTCCTGCGTCTTGGCAGCCCTTGCTGGCTCATACAGAACACTGCTTCTCTTTCTATGCCCAAGTCGCTCCCAAGAACAACTCACTTTTTGAGACAAAAGCCCTTTCGAGGAACAAAGGCGGGGGCCTGTCCACCAGCAGGGGCGGGTCTCATCACACTCACACTGCTGCGTGTCTCCACGCTTCGTTCTTTTTATGACCGAAACACCACTTGCGTTTTGGACAGGGTAAAAAACTGCTCCTGATTTATGCTATATACATTCAGATTTTCACACTGAGTTTATCTACAGTGATAGTCACCTCTGCTCAGACTTACCGAACGCCTCTCCACAGGCCTTTTCTTGGGCCCAGTGATGCTGCGCTGCTCACTGAGCTAGCCGGCAGTTTGATGAGGTTCTCCTGGTAAACGTGGGCAGCCTCGGGGGTGAGAGGAGGCAGGGCTCCACTTCCCTCCCCACCACCTCCCTACGAGACAGTCACAGTGAAAGCACGTCTCATCCAAAGGCTGCCAGATGGACACTTAGCAAGCTGTCCCCAAAGTCGTCATGTAATCTGTCCCTCTAAGTTTTAGAGGGGCCCGATCTCACTCCTTGGGCCCCCAGACAGGCATTCACATGAGTTCTCTCCATGGCCTGAGCCACAGCCTTGAAGCTAATCTGAATTATCCACCAGCTTGGAGTCATGGGGTAGAAAAGCCACTTTTCTTCTTACTCCTTTTCAGATGGAGTTTCGCTCTAGTGCAGTGGCGTGATCTTGGCTCACTGCAACCTCTGCCTCCCAGATTCAAGCGATTGTCCTGCCTCAGCCTCCCGAGTACCTGGGATTACAGGCACCCACTGCCACACCTGGCTAATTTTTGTATTATTTTTAGTAGAAATGGGGTTTCACCATGTTGGCCAGGCTGGTCTTGAACTACTGACCCTTTGTGATCTGCCCGCCTCGGCCTCCCAAAGTGCTGGGATGACAGGTGTGAGCCACTGCGCCTAGCTGAAAAGCCACTTTCCAAACTGCCCAGACCCCACTTCTGACTCTGCAGTTTCCAAATAGATTATTTAACTAAAAGAGATTCTTTTACTGTTACGAATTTCTCACAGTTCAGGTCCTCACAAGACAGTAAAGAGCCATCATTGAACAGGCCCCACGAAGCACCGCCACACTCAATGTCCATGAAGAAAAGCACTCACACCGCAGCTGTGTGTGATTAATGAGAAGCTGTATTTGGTGTCAAAATTGTAAAGAACACTATTTTGACATGAAAATGTATTCTTCTCTGTATTAATGGCCTACGTCTTCAGAGTTGTCAAGGTTTTCTAAAAGTTTCCTCTTTGGAAAGAAGAAATCTGAAAGCCCTATCATGCCGTTCCTCCTAGCGTCTCTAAATTGGAAACAGATAAAGATGCTTATTAGTAATTTCTCATAGCATACTCAGTAACATTTTGTAAAACACAGTATGATTTAAAAGGTCTACTTTAAAAAACTATTTATGGTTGCTCATCAGTAATTCTTACCTCCAAAAATAAAGCATTCTCTTTTCTTGTACAAAATGTACCAAAACCAAAACCTACAATAAATGTACCTTTATTTCTAGGGGAAAAGATCGGTACTATATTCAAAGGTTCTTCTTTTTTGATGATTTGCAGTCTCAGGAAAGTGGTGGGAGATGGGGATGCTGAACAGGGCCCCAGTTCTTTGGAGGCTAGGAACATGGGTTTGGAATGAGATGGGAGCGCCTGTGCCCAGGTGGCTCCGTCAGGGGGAGCAGCCAGGTCAGAGGGTACAAGAGGAGAGAAGAGGTGACCGGACCGGGCAGGAGAGGGGCCGGCATGGCCAGGTGTCGTGCAGAAGCAGAGACTGTGGGAATCAAGAAGAGAGCTGGGGACAAAGCAGCGGGTCATCGGTGACTGCAGACACAGGGACGGCTTGGGAGCTGCCATCTTCCATGAGGGCAGGAGGGTTGGAGTGACAGTAGATGACAGAGCAAGGACAGAAAAAGGGGACCATGGAGTCCAGAGGCTCAGCCCATGGTGAGCACCAGAGGGGATGTGAGTTTGAAGGAAGGAGAGGAAATAAGGACAAGGAAGGACAAGGGACAAAGAAGGGACAAGGAGGGGAGGAGGGCGGGGACAGGCAGGGCAGGGGGCACAGGATGCAGGGCTCTGCTGGGGCAGGAAGGGAGGCCGAGGCTGGCGGATCACTGGAGCCCCAGCTCCTGGTGCCGTGGCCTGCATCCCGGGCGGCACCATGGCCGGGTGGAAAGGGTGGAAGGAGGGACAAGAGTCTGGGTGGTGATGACAGGTCAGGAGGCCGAGGCAAGGAGGAGTGTGTGCCATGCCAGACAGTGGCCCTGGGACCAGTCCCCAGTGGTCCCCGTCCCTGGCTTACTGTCCTCTTGGCACTCAGTACGACCTGCCGTCTTAAAGTCTGCATGTCTGGTGTCTGTCTGCTTCACAGACATGACCTGTTCACTGACTACATCTGGGCGCCTGCACTAGTGCCCAGCACAGAGCAGGCGCTCAATAAACTGTCCTGTGGGCGATTCAAGATGAGCGGTGTGGGGCTCAGGGACAAACCATCACCAGCACTTGGAGGGGTGGTGGCCCCGAGGAAGCGCTGTGCTGAGAAGGCCTCAAGGGCACCATCTCCTTTGGGGCTGGAGCCTGGAGGATTGGGCCCTTTCCTCCCGCTCACCAGGCTCACTCTGCAGCCGCGCAGCATCCCAGACCCCGCCCTGTACTGTTACCACTGCCCCTGCACACCCCACCAGCCCCAGCTGCTTTCTCTGCCTCCCCATAGGCGGAGCAGGGTGCAGAGTCAGCACCCAATGATGGTGTAAGGAATGAACACATGAGAACTTCCGCAGGACTCAAGACCTTTGTTCCTTTTTACTCTGTATCTTATCTTTAAAGTGAGAACTCATTAATCTTGTTAAAAATGTCGCAGGTGATCAGAACACTGGACACTATATTCGAATGTTAGCACCAGGTAATGCTTTAGAGCAGAGTCAGCCTTACATCGCACGCAGCCTGGCGCAAATACAGTATCACATGCAATGTGTCGGGGTCACATAGCAAGTCCATCAGAGCAAGAATTGCGTGACTGATGTCAATGACATCCTCAAGTTTCTGCAAATGATCCTGTGTCCATGGCATCACTGCCAGGCTGTCCACCAGCAGAAATCAATGCCTATGTTTCACTATAGAGAAATGAATTATTATTATTTTTTTGAGATGGAGTTTCGATCTTGTTGCCCAGGCTGGAGTGCAATGGCATGATCTCAGCTCACTGCAACCTCCACCTCCAGGGCTCAAGTGATTCTCCTGCCTCAGCCCCCTGAGTAGCTGGGATTACAGGCACCCACCACCAGGCCCGGCTCATTTTTGTATTTTTTAATAGAGATGGAGTTTCACCATGTTGGTCAGGCTGATCTTGAACTCCTGACCTCGTGATCCACCTGCCTTGGCCTCCCAAAGTGCTGGGATTACAGGCGTGAGCCACCACACCCAGCTCTGTCTCACTTTTTAACATACTACAATTTAATACCACCTAACATACTGTACATGGGAATCAGGCTAGATTTGGGATACACGGGTCTTAATGGCAGGTTACATTCTCTCCCTCTAAAGTCTAAAGAAACCCAAGGCTCAGTCTACACGGGTGGAAGCCACAGGGGAGGACGGGCTCCCTTCTGAGGTGCTGCTTGATTTCACTGATGGCCTCTGATCCGCAGCTCCACGTACACCCACCCCAAGTACCAACAGGTGTGCCTGAATCTTCTGCCAAACACAAGATTTGTTGGGACAAAGTTACCGCAGACAAGGGGCATGATATTGTGAAATTTATATTTGGTCTTCAACGCTGTCTCCTGTCATGCAACTCCTAAAATCTGTGGAATCTCCAAAGTGACTTATTTCTGTATGCTCATGACTGGCTGGAGACCCAGGCAGCTTCAGGACGGGGCTGGTCACTGGAGAGCCCAAGGCAGGATTAGAGGGGTGGGACTTTCAGCCCAGCCCAGCCTGGGAGGAGGGGAGGGGCTGATGGCTAAGGGGATCACTAATGGCCAATGATTTAATCAGTCATGGCTACATCATGAAGCTTCCAGAAAAAAATCCTGAAAGGACAGGGATCAGAAAGTATTCCAGTAGCTAAACTCATGGAGGCTGACAAGGTGAAAAGAGCTCATCCATATGCAGGGAGGGGAAGTACGCCAACTCCACGGGGACAGAAGCCCCGAGCTCCAGACCCTTCCAGCCCTCCCTCTATGTCTGTCTTCTTCTGACTGTTGGTAACCTTTAAAATATCCTTTGTAACAAACTAGTAAATCCAAGTGTTTCTCTGAGTTCTGTGAGCCATTCTAGCAAATTAATTGACCCTAGGAAGGGTCATGGGAAGCCCGATTTATAGCCGGTTGATCAGAAGCACAGCCAAAATAACCTGGGGCTTGCAACTGGCATCAGCAATGGGGCAGGGTGGGGGCCGTCTTGGGGACTGAGCCCGCATCCTGTGGGATCTCACACTATCTCCAGGTAGACAGGGTCACAGTTGAATGAGAACGCACAGCTGATGTCTGCTACAGAATGGCTCGCTTGCTTTTTGGTGAGGAAAAATCCCCACACGTGGTCAGAGCTGTGTCTGTGTTGATTATTGTTGCGGTGTGAGAGCAAAGGGAAAACTGAGTTTTTCCCTCCATGGGAGAAGTCAGACAGGAAATTCTCCCATGGCCAACATACCTGGATCCCAGAGCATGTGCATACTTACATATTTTCCTTGAGAGAGGCAAGGTAGGATTCCGTCTCTGAGGGAGAGATGTCGGAGTCTAATTTGGCCAAGTAGCGGTAGACGTAGGAGAACGTCTCGAAGGGGATGCGAGCGGGCCCGCCCTCTGGATCGTCGGTGAGGATCTCACACAGGTGCTTCAGTGCCGTGTTCAAGGACTAGCGGCACCACAGCCAGGCAGGGAGAAAAACAGTTACTCCTGGCATCATCAACACTCTAGCATGTTAGACAGAAATTCTCCAAAAAGTATGCGCTTTGTCTGAACCGAGAACTACATGAATGTACAACTATCACAATGAAAAATCAAAAGGAAAAGTTTTAATGGGGTGCAATTGACCAGAAAAAAAAATTCTAATTCACAGATCTTATTTTCTATTAAAGTAGAAATGACTGTTACAGTCAAGAGAAAACATCAATGTCTTTAAAACCAACTTCCTAAGCTAAAGCAGGAACGTGCAGCCCCATCTGGCCCAGAGACCCATCCGGGGAGGTACCCAGGGGCTGAATGAACTCTGCCACCAGCCAGAGGTGCTGCCTGCAGAGGGTAGGGCTGGCAACTAATGGCCTGCGTGCCTACCAAGAACCTCTGTGTATCCCCAACGCCTGCCCGCCAGGCCCTGGGGAGGGCTCTGTCCTGGCTCCGCCCTGCTCACGCAGAAGCCTCTGGGCCCCGTCTCAGCTCCAGGACAGCACCTGGACTTCCTTCCTGCAGACCGTTCATCTCCCTCACACTCTTCCCCACTGCTGGGCTCATCCCAGACAGCAGTCCACCCTCCACTTTCAGCGGGAAAGCCAGTCCTCTGATCAGCCTGCCTGCCTCCACGTGGCAGACTCTTTTAGCACCTGCCCACTCCGACAAGCCCCTGGTGGAGGCAGCTAACAGGCCAGGCCAAGGTCATCTTCATGAGACCAGAGGCTGCACAGCGCTGGAGCTGCAGGCCTGGGCACCAGGGTCCCCCCGGGGCCAGCCCATGGCCTCCCACCTCCAACCTGCTCAATTTATCCTTATTGAAAAAAACATGAGAGGAGTCTGTGTGTGTGTGTGTGTGTGTGTGTGTGTGTGTGTGTGTGTGTGTTGAAGGAAGTGGGGGAAACCATGTAACATAAGATTACTATCTTTTAAAAAAAGAATGCATAGCCCAGGTCTCTTTTCTCCTTCTGTACCAAGACATCATGGCCTGCAGCCTTCAACACCCTGGCCAGGGTGAGCTGAGGGGACAGGTACTCCCATTCCGCAGGTGGCCTCTGAGACCCACGCCTCAGTCCCCCCCTCGAGTCCCTTCTGTGAAGCCTGTCCTTGCTAGAGTGACTGTCTCATACCTGCCTGGATGATCACACTGCCTACTGATGAAGGTGAGCTCACAGGGGTGGTTGCTGAAATGCAACCCCCCCTCGCCAGCACACACACGGACAGCCCTTCCTTCCCTCCACATTCACCAAGGGCCTGTCACAGGCCAGGATGTAGCAGTGAACAGACGCCTAACCCTGCTCAGCTGGAGATCACCGTCCAGTGGGACAGCCGCACCACCTGGATTCTGGAGTGCTCTGGAAGGGGCTTCCCAGAGCAGTGGGCAGGCAGTGGCAGGATGGAGGGTGACATTTTCAATGGGGTGGTCAGGGAAGGTCAGAGCAGACAGCATTTAAGCAGACCAGGGGAAAGGAGCCAGTCATGTGGGATGCTGGGAGAATTCCAGGTACACTTCTGTGTGCTCCAGAAACAGCCAGCAGCTCCGGGCAGCTAGAGCAGGCCATGGAAGGGAATGAATGCAGGAACTGAGGTCAGCGGGATGGGGTGGGGCAGGCCACGAAGATCTTTACAGGCCCAGCGAGGATTTGACTGGGTTTCATGGGAAGGTGTCAATGGGTTTTAAACAAAGACGAAGCACTGTGGGGTGTTTCTAAGGAGTCCTTCTGCTGATGTATGAAGAGGAGGCCCCAGTAATGAGGGTAGAAGGCAGAACCCAGTGAGGATGCTGCTGGAATAATCCAGCCAGGGGCCTGGGTGGCAGGTAAAGGCCGGACTCGGCCTCTCCTGAAGGTGGAGTTACCGGAACTCACTGGCGGCTGCATGTGGGGAGAGACAGAACCATGAAAAGTGGCTCCAATGTTTGAAGCCTGAACAGCTAGAAGGGTGGATTTGCTCTCAACTGGGAAGTTCCAGAGAGAAGCGAGAAGCTGAGTTTGGGGTGGTTTCCACTAACATATCTGTTAAGCGCCCAGTGAAAGTGATGACTAAGGTGACTACTTATTGAGCCTGGTGCTCCAAGGAGCATGGGTGAGATGGTGTATACAGGCGAGATGGTGTACATGGGTGGGATGGTGTATATGGGTGGGATGGTGTACATCGGGGGATGGTGCAGACGGGAGGGATGATGTGCACAGGGGGGATGGTGTACATCGGGGGATGGTGCAGACGGGAGGGATGATGTGTACAGGGGGGATGGTGTACATCGGGGGATGGTGCAGACGGGGGGATGGTGTACATGGGAGGGATGCTGTATATGGGTAGGATGGTGTACATGGGTGGGATGGTATACACGGAGGGATGCTGTACACGGGAGGGATGGTGTACACGGGGGGATGGTGTATATGGGCAGGATGGTATACATGAGCAGGATGGTGTATACCACCGAACCCCATGAGGTTGCTGAGGTGGGAGGAGAGCACACGGACACACCACACCACCAAGAGCTGGGGAGATGAGAGACCAGCATGGGGATGCAGAAAGGGTGGCCAGGAGGGAGGCTGCTGGTGAGTGAAGGAAAGCGATCCCTGGTGGAGAGAGCAGTCTCCTGTGTCAAAGCACACAGGACAGGGCAGGAACAACAAGGACTGGCAGGAGGCACAGGATTTCCTCAGAGCCGGGTGCTGTGCTGGAGCCAGCTGATGGGAGCCAACTGTTAAGTTTCCAGCAGTTATGGGATCTGGAGGACTTCACCTTGGCAGCCTGAACTCAGCAGCGGTGGGAGTATTTACACGCAGCACTTGGCAAACATGACTGAGAACCAGGGCCTTCCCAGGCAGGCTGGAACCCCACAGGCTGCTGGGTGGGGTGTGAGGGCAGGCTGAGGAGCTCCTGCTTGCAGCAGCCTCGGCGGCCCCGCATCCCTGAGGAAGCGCCTGCAGGGATGAATCCAGGCTATGCTCCCAAGGGAAGCCAAGAAACAAACACAGCAGGGCCAGCACCAAGCACCGACGCGGCGGGAGAGCTGCAAACGCAGGGAAAAGGCCTCTGAGAGCCAGGCCAGGCCTGTCTGGCTCCACAGCAGCTGTGTCAGGAATAAACCCCACATCCTCAGGGTCAGGAAAGGGCTCTGAGCCCACTCCAGGCTGTGGGGCAGAACGAGCCTCTCCTACAGAACACCGTGGTCAGAACAAGTCTGATAACGCAGCATGCTGTCCTCCTCTGGGAGCAAGAATAATGACAGTCACCTCGTGTGGTTACCGTGAGGAGCAGAGAGACACCTGGCCAAGGCCCAGAGGGGTCAGCAATCACCCAAGGTCACTCAGCCAGGCCTGGAGCGCAGCCAGCGGGTCTCTGAGCTCATGCCAGGGAATACTCTGTTTTGTCATGCCTAGCAGTCACCAGGCAGACTCTGGGAGCAAGGCCTGGGGCAGAGACGTTGCCTATTTGGGGACTTAAACATTTGGCTGCAGGAGATGGAGCCCTGACCAGAACTGATCTCCCTGTCCCCCGTGGCCTGATTCGGCAGCTCCTCCCATTTCCAGCCCCTGCCCATGCCGGCAGTGCCAGTGGAGGCGTTGCTGAGGTAGAGTGTTCGGGGTGAGTGCAGCCCCCAGGGCGATGCAATGCTCTCCATAGGAAAAGCACAGAACTCACCCTGAGGAGCTGCGGGCATCTCTCCAGGACCACTGCACACGTGGCTCCTCTAAGAGACTGTCCCCAAGAGAAGACTTGCTGAGGGTGGAGTCATGCATTTCACAATCCATGTTCCTTGCTTGAAACTTTCAAAGACATGTTGTTATGCTGGGATTTGCATTTACACCTGACACAAATGGAAGTCCGTCACCACTGTGCGCAGAGCTGTGGGGCCTCAGGAAGGATGAGTCGGGAAGGAAGGAGTTGGCGTGGATGGAGCAGGCAGATGAGATCTGTGCAACGCGCTGTTCCAAGGCTTCAGAGGAAGTGGTATTTCAGGAAAAATACATCAAAACACTCGAGCGTCGCTCCTCTGCAAAGGCGTGATGACACTACCCATGTCAGTGTTTCTGACAATAATCTGCAGCGATTTTTATATCCAGAAGGATTCATAAGGCAACTCCTTGGATCTTGGGCTGCAAGTTACATTTCTCAAAATGTGTTTCTCAATTCCAAAGGCCTGTGGCTGGCACGGTCACTTGCACACCAGCCAAAAGACCCTCTCCTTGGCACGGCTGTCCCATGCTGCCCTCCCGCCTGTTGCTGATTGAGTCTCCCGTGTGCAATACGTGCCAGGTAGACGTGACTGGCAAGCTGCACTTAGTTTTTTGTTTTTGTTTTTATTTTGAGATGGAGTCTCACTCTTGTCACCCAGGCTGGAGTGAAGTGGTGCAATCTTGGCTAACTGCAATCTCTGCCTCCTGGGTTCAAGCAATTCTCCTGCCTCAACCTCCCCAGTAGCTGGGATTACAGGTGCCTGGCACTATGCCTGGCTAATTTTTGTTAGTAGAGACAGGGTTTCACCATGTTGGCCAGGCTGGTCTCAAACTCCTGACCTCAGGTGATCCACCCGCCTCGGCCTCCCAAAGTGCTGGGATTACAGGTGTGAGCCACCGCGCCGGGCCAAGCACTTAGTTTTTAACCAAGTATTTCCACCTGACCCGTAATCTGAAAGTAAAATGGAGATGTGTGCAGATCACAGGCACGGAGGCACCTACTATTTTCTGGGTATTTCTGGTGTGCCACCTCGGCAGGATTTTTCAGTTTCTGAATTACAGCTGTTCTTATGACATGAGGCCCCTGAAGAACAGTCACCTCACGCCTCCCCAAGGGGCCCTCTCAGCGGGCATGGACACGAAAATAGGACCGTTTTACACAGAATCAGAACACAGGAAGTCCCCCTCCGCAGCGTGGCTGCCTGTGCTGGGGTAGAGATTGGACTTCCAGTAAAGCCACGCTGCTGATCCAGCACTGCATTTTCAAAAGCCTGAGGGCCTT